ATGATGCGCACACCATGGCACAATTTCGGGTGCGCGGTGGAGCGCGAGCGCGATCGCGCCCCTTAAAAATGAAAGCCTGCCTAAACGTACGCGCCATCTCGTGGCAACTTTCATAACGATCCCAACGAACATTCCTTTGAGAAGGTTCCTGATACCATCCCTGTGCCTTCCACTGTTTCGGCATGTATGTGAACACATCTGGGACTAACAGGGTTTACTAGAATCCCACCACTCCACCACAGATTCACCGCAGTAGACGTGAGATGAGCGCTGTTGCTCCGCGGCACTTGTTCAACATTTATCGTCGACGTAGTAGGCCTAGTCACTAGTGCTCAAGGGGTTGTTGTCGTATCAGGTACTACACAAAGTGTACCAGACTTGTACTACAGAAGTGTACCCTAACCCTAACACTAACCCTAACCCAAACCCTAAACATACCTCATATAAAAATATAAACATAATAGTTTAATAGTAATACTAAACAAGCTAAAACTACCTCGGGTACATATCTGTTACTGTAGACCTGATACCTGATACGACAACGACCCCATCTGCCGTAGTAGTGCAGATGGGGTCGTTGTCGTATCAGGTACTACAGCTGATAGGGTCTATGTCCCCCAGGGTACTGCCGGAACGTACCCTGGTAACTATCTAGCTGATAATGATATGGTTAGGGTTAGGGTTAGGGAGTAGGCGTAGGCGACTCCCTAGACTCGTTAGTGGAGTAGGCGAGGTACGGTCCGGCATATTAGATAGTAGTATTTAGTACCAGGGTACGTTCCGGTATACCGGACGGTACCTAGGGTACGTTCCGGCAGTACCCTGGGGGACATAGACCCTATCAGCGGTACTACAGATATGTACCCGAGGTAGTTTTAGGTTGTTTAGTATTATGTTTATATTTTTATATGAGGTATGTTTAGGGTTAGGGTTAGGGCTATGGTTAGGGTTAGGGTTAGGGTACACTTCTGTAGTACAAGTCTGGTGCACTTTGTGTATTCATATATGTACCTCGGGTACATATCTGTAGTAGGCCTACCTGATACGACAACGACCCCTTCAGCATAACAGTACTACTACTAGTACTACTACTAGTGGCAGAGGTCCCAAGTTGGGAAAGTCCAAGAAAGGGATCCAGCAATCCAAGAAAGGGAGCCAGGTCCATCGCCGTTTTTTCGCAGTGCGCAAAAACAGGAAAAAAGTTGTGGCGGGCTGCGATGTGTGTGTGTGTTTGTCGCGGCACACCACCATTTTTTATAAAGTATACATGAAAAATCATCGTTTTATCGCCTTTTATTGTGGAATGTTCGCTGGAATCAAAGTACCACATCAACAACAACGGCAAATTTAGTAATTTACTGATTTACTGATGTAAATTTTCATATGGCTGAAAAATGTTACGACCGGGAGCTTCTGACCTCATTCCGGGGCACCGGGAGCAGCGTGTCATACCGGGAGTCTCCCGGTGAGACCGGGAGAGTTGGGACGTCTGACTAGTGGGTAGTAGTAGTACTACTACTAGTGGGTAGTAGTAGTAGTAGTAGTAGTAGTACTACTACTAGTGGGTAGTAGTAGTACTACTACTAGTGGGTAGTAGTAGTAGTACTGGTAGTACTAGTAGTAGTAGTACTAGTTTCCCCGTAGTTTCTTCATCTCTGTCATTCCATATTGAATTCTCGGTGACCGAATTCTCTTTCGTCTTCTTTGGTTAATTGTAAAATTTACAAAGTGGCTGGAGGTAGGCCTACGGCACCCGTCGTTCGTTGATGCCCCTTTTGGCGTTTGTTTGAGGGCTGAGGCATTTATTTGCAATCCTCTGATCAATGCATGATTAGGTGGTTTATTCCCGGTTGACCTAC